CAGCGTATCAACTATGATAAGCTGCCGGAAATTAATCATGTCTTCCGTCAACCTGAAAAGAGACCATCTACTGTTGTTTCCGATGCCTTCACACTGATTTGCTTGGCTCCGTTGTTGCTTCTGCCTGTATTGGTAAGATATTTTATAGATACTAATATGCTATCAGGTATGCTTCGAGCTCTCACTTCCAGTGGTTACGTATTGGACTGAATTTCGGTAATATGCCGCTCAACGTATGGACAGTGACCTTCCATGGAAGTCTAGCAGGTCACTCTGATGTATTGGTGATCTATATGTTTCTTTCAGTTGGTCTTCCCCCAGTTGGTGAACTCGGTTTTTATGGTATTATATCTGTATTTTAGCACTGTTCGCCTTGTATTTCGTGTTCTGGCTCCAGCTGAACATGTTTGAGACGCTGAAGTATCTAGCCGTGGTCGGTGGATTAACCTATATCGCTGGTAATCGCGTCTTGAGGGCAATCGCAAGGAAGAGGAAGTCAATCTTGGAATAGAATTATAAAATAATGAATAATGTGAATGTACATCAAATAAAACATACTTTGCAGGAGCAAGGTCGAGTAATTACATAGCTGCCAAGGAGGATGCGAACGCACAAAGTGGATCAAGCCTTATAACCCTCGCATCCAATTGTCACTACGAGTCTGAATGGAATTCGAATGACCCATTCTGAAGAAGCGGGTTGATCAGTGCCCAATGGCTTCATTCTTTATTCTTTGCCCTTTTTGAATTGTGTCTTTGATGTGCCTTTTTCCATAAGGGTAATGGGATACGATGCTTAGGAAAAATGGCAGCTCCCCGCTAAAAAGTTATATACTGTGCCAACTTGCCTTTATTAAAAACGCATTTCATCTGCCAATCTGTGGTTTCCTTTTTTTCTGTGTGCCGATCGGTTTCTAATGCACCAAATCGCTCTATGCTTACTTTTATTTGCTTCCAAAGTTTTCTTCTCTGAAGTGACCATAATTTACTTTCGACGAATCTTGGTATGCTGTATCTCGATGTGTGAGTGTCTTTGTAAGCCTCAGCCAAGGTGTTGTAACTTTTTTTTATTTGGCTAACGTTTAGACCTTATCGCTTTAGTCAGAGCCTGGAAGCTTAAGATATTCAAAATTCATCCTTATCAAACAACGTAGTCCAGGTCTTACAAGGAAGGTCTTCCGGGGAGTGGGACGCTTTTTGAAAATGGATTTTTGCATGGTATAGGGGCATGAGCACTGAGTATAGAACTAAGGTCCATTTCCGCTAAATGGTTTTCTGAATGCCAAAAAAGAGTGAAAATGATTTTGTCTGAAATTGCCGTTTTAACCCACTAAACGTCGCTTGTTTCATTCATGGCGTCAACTGTCCGCACAGTGGAAGGCGTCAGTGGACTCTGCATCGAAAATAACGTGAACAGTAGCAAAAAAAAGTGTGCCACTTATTGAAAAGTGCGAGGAATTTTCATATGTGCTCTTCACGGTTGAGCTGTTGGCAGCGGCGGATGGTGTGGTGGATAGCGATGTGGACTTCGAATTGGGATGGCTAGACTGGGTTGTTGGTTCGAGTTTCCGGAGATTTGCCGTTTTTGCATTTTATGCTGCCACCTCCACACTGGCTCCATATTGCACCAGGGCCAAAGCAATGAGCCAGAGAGGTGAAGGGGGACGACTAGGCTGGCCTGACCGGCCACCTAGTCGTATTCGATCACCA